AATAAACAAATATAATATATAGTTAATAGTTTATAAAATAAAAAAATAAACAAAGAAAAAAAGAATACAAAGAAAAAGAAGATGGTGGATGCTAAAAATGCACAGGAAACGTACACTGTAAATCTATTTATGTTTTATTTTTTTTCCCGCACCCAAATTGCACTAGAAAGATGTCCAATGGTTTAAGCTAAATAATAAGACAAACGTAAATATATTTTAATGAAATAATAACTAATAAGCCAATCATAAATACTGGTCAAGTGCGAATTAGATACACGTACCCAGGGTTTCGTATTATATCTATGGTTTCGTACCACTGTACACTATGAATTTTGACCTGCAAAAATTGTTTTTTTTCTCCTGCTTATTTTTCTTGGTTTCATACCGTAAATTAAAGTATACTTTTGAAGTAATTTTTTTAAATTCAATCTCGAAAAGCTTTTTCATTACTCCACTCCATCGCAGTCAATACGTACAACCCCGTGGCACTCACCGTGCACAATGAGACAAACGTAGTGTGGCCGCTTCAACGCGATAATTCGCGCGTTAATCCTTTGATGTACCGCCACTCGAGTTATCGGCAAACGGGAAACGGCATTGTTAATGCCGTTGTCAAATTATCGCGATAATTCGTGGCCACACCTAGATTCAACGTCCATCAACGCGATAATTAACGGCGTTTCTCCTTAGTGTGGCCGGGCCATAAAAAGACATCGCGCAAAAATGGTCCCGACACATCATAACGATATGGAGGGAACTAAGAATATTCGTATTTTACTTATAAATAACTGTTTTATTAATATAAATTTTAACAGATCAGTGTCTTAAACAAATAAACTTTTGAACACTAAAAATATACGTCTTAGTACTGCAGGTCTCGTGTCAGTTCTGTGTGCATTCAGAAAGAATTTGTTAGCCGCACAACTTCAGAGCATGTTGGTGTCGATAGACTTCGTAACACATCGTCTTTGAAATATATTTTTTCGACGGTATCCTTACAATGTATCCCATCATCGCCGATCACGCTGTGTATCAGCACTGAAAATCGCAATAATTATCAAATGTTTACAGTAATCCTGCGTTGCTAGAAAACACACTTAATATTATTTTAGAATGTCGGCTCTTGCTTAGTAAAAGCATAGGCTAGATTCGTCGTGATAATTTTACTCGAAGAGCTCTTTTTAAAACCTTCATTAATTTACAAAACAACGATACATTTGGCTTCAAAAAGGCGTGTCGTAATTAACTCCCTTTTTGTTTAATTTTAACAAGTAAAACGAATCTTGTGTAACAAAAGTCCTTTAAATGCGACGCTGTAAAGCCGACCTAATTAACTGTCCATTGTGTGAAGAGCCGGCTCTAAACTGCAGATTCCGCAGCGAGCCACGTCGCTTCCGAAGCTCTAAGTTCCGTAATTGTGCGAAAGTGGCAACATTCCATGGATTTACGCAGACAGTTTAGTGCCAACTTTTCGACCTAGTGTAGTGTTCATGTAGATACGGTTGTAATTATTGCCATACGACATGCAAGATTTAAATAATTTTATTTATTATTGGACCGCCAACTTTTCGTTTCGTTGACTTGACATAATAATCCAACCGATGATTTTGGCCCCACTGTGGACCTCATGATCAGCAATCGCGCACATGACCTCCAGACCAACTTTAAAGTCAAAAGGTGTTTTACGTAAGGCGCTACCTCCAGCGAACGACCTTGAGCGTTTGGTCTGTCGACGCTCGCTACAATATATTGCGTAAGAAATCGCCAAAAGACGCCACCTACTGCTACGAACGTAGTATTATTTTTTCAATGTCAATGAACTATTCTATGGAAATAGACACGGCGTACAATGATAAATGTATTTTAATTTTCTTTATTCGGTATATTAGTTGCATTATATTAGAATTTTGTATTCTCATATATTATGTAATTAATAAAAATGACTATTTTGATTATTTTTAACTATATACTATACTGCTAATATTGAATTAGCTTTTTATAGTGTAAATTATAATATTTGTCGAAATGTTAATTATGGATTCGAACTTTACATGCTAATGGTGCTTCATTTTTGTTATTTTCATTTACTTACATATTGAAAATATACTTGAATAGTAGTTATTATTATTTTATTTAGCTACTGAATTTTAGGATATGTTTTACCTTGAGGTCAAATATAATTTTGAGGAGCAATAGTTATTACCTACTAATCTTTTATCTGCTATTCCTTATTTAGGAACAATATTAGTAAATTGAGTTTGAGGGAGATTTACTGTTTATAATGCTACATTTATTATTTTAATATTTACCTACTGGGTAGGTAATTATTAAAATAATAAATATAGCATTAGTAGCTAAATAGATATTTTTTTTAATTTTTAAAATTAAAATTTTCGTATTTTTAAAAATTACTAAAAAAAAAAGGTATGAAATAATAGATTTTCTCACAAAAGAAGGGAACTTGAAAAAAAAAGGAAAAAAAAGCGGGACCAAAGCCAAGACGCGAACCACGGAACTCCGATATCACGCCCGACCGACATACCACCTGAGCTATAACGACCGTTAATGATTAGTCGAAATTCACCTTCTTATATTGTAGCAGTTTTTTTATTGCCTGAAAACATGGACAAAAGGACATTTTCTAAAAATAAATCCAAGCGTTCGTCGCTAAAATCGTTGGAGCCGTATAATTTTCTCATCTGGTTCGGTTATATAAATATTTAAATATATAAAAATTATAAATTAAAATGAAAAGATAAATATACATAAATATCAATAAAATAAAATAAATACAAAATAATATTATATTATTATTGTTGTGGGATATCTATATAGTTTTCTCATCTGGTTGGGTTCTATAAATATATAATTATAAATGAAAATGAAAAGATAAATATACATAAATATCAATAACATAAAATAAATATAAAAATACATAAATAAATAAAAGCCCAATCAGATGGAGGCCCTCGGCAGGGGAGACCAAACGGCCGAGGGTTAGGAGGAAAGGGAAAGAAACCGGCGGACGATGCGGGCGGTATCGATGAGCACCGTCTTCTGCATTTGAGCCCGGAGCGGTCCGTCACGTAGTCCCAGTCGCCTCAGATGACCCGAGAGGCTGACTGGGATTAGCCCGTTTGCAGAGACGACTACAGGAATAATTTCGGTCGGCAGACCACCCCACATGTCAGTCACCTCGTGAGCCAGGTCCAGATATTTTGTTTGCTTGTCTGTTTCGGCTTTCACGAGGTTCTCGTCATACGGAATAGTAATGTCGACCAAAAATATCCTTGACTGTGCCCGGTCCATCAGCACAATATCAGGCTTATTCGCAAGAATAGTCCTGTCTGTGATGATGGCCCGGTCCCAATAGAGCCTGGCGCGATCATTTTCGAGCACGGCTTCCGGCAAGTACTTGTAATACGGCAATTTCCGATCCACGAGACCGTATTTCAGAGCGAGCTCCTGGTGAAGAATTCTGGCTACTAGGTTGTGCCTGTACAAGTACTCAGAGTTAGAAAGCGCCGAACAACCGGAGATGACATGCCTAAGTGACTCACCGGGATGGCGACAAGCTCGACAGATGTCCACGGTGCCATCCTTTAGGATGTATCTCCGATAGTTGTTGGTCTTAATAACCTGATCCTGTATTGCACAGACAAAACCCTCGGTTTCCCCGAATAGATCACCAAAGCGTAGCCAGTGGAGGGAGGCTACTGTGTCTACGAAAGGCTCATGTAGAGCCTTGTAGAACCTCCCGTGGAGCTCCTTCTCCTTCCATACGTTCTCCCGGTCGGATATTGTCTGCACTGCCGGGTCTTGCCATTGCTCGTTGGCTAAGGATAGAGGGGTAAGTCCTTTATCACTAGAAATGACGTCCTTATAGAATGGATCATCCGATCTCGCCAGGAAGTAATTACGGAGGCTGCACACTTCGCGATTATGCATGGTGAGTGCGCTCAAGAAGCCACGGCCACCATGCTTTCGCGGCAAGTACAGCCTCATTACCGACGATCTCGGATGATGCATCCTGTGGGACGTCATGGTAGTGCGGACTTTTCTATCCAGGGCGTTAAGTTCAGTCTGAGTCCACCTGAGTATGCCAAAGGTATACATGAGGACAGGCATGACCCAGCCGTTAAATGCGTGTGTCTTATTCACACCGGACAAAAGGCTGTTAAGCACTTTGGTCAAGCGTGCATAAAACACGTCGCAAACTGACTGTTTCATACCAGCCTCATCGATACCGATGTTCTGTGACAAACCCAGGTATCGGTATGTTTCAGCCTCGGAAAGGGTCCTTAAGTTGACGGGCATAGATAAGTCTATGCCCTCAGAGTTAGCAACCCTCCCCCTTTCAACATGGAGGACCGCACACTTATCCGTTCCCAGCTCCATTCCAATAGAATTGCTAAATTCACAAGTGATGTTTAGCAATTCCATAAGATGGGAGCGACTGGAGGCGAATAACTTGAGGTCATCCATATAGAAAAGGTGGGTCACTTTTGTACCTCCTTTCCGAAGCTGAAATCCCCTCCCGGAGCCCTCCAGTAAAGTACTGAGAGGGTTCAGGGAGAGGCAAAACCAGATTGGACTCAGACAATCGCCCTGGAAGATACCCCTTCTTATCCTTATGTGGTTCTCCGCAGCCATCATCCGCTCGCCCAGATAGCAAAGGATCGTACTCCATTGCCCCATACACTGTTCGAGGAAGTCTCCAACTGTACAGTCAATTTTGTACAGCTGGAGGACTCTCTTTAGCCATGTATGGGGCACCGAGTCGAATGCCTTTCTGTAGTCTATCCAGGCGGCGGAGAAATTCCGACGGTTGCGTTTCACCACTTTGCCAATGACCGCGTCAATGAGGAGTGGTTCCTTGGTTCCACGACCACCGCCCCGGCATCCATTTTGAGCGCGTGACATCACCTGATTTAGCTCCAGGTGACGAGTGATTCTCGCGCTCAAAATGGATGTCAGTGTCTTATATATGGTGGGTAGACACGTGATGGGGCGGTATTTGCTCGGGTCTGTGGTATCCTGATCTTTAGGAACCAAATGAGTGATCCCAGTAGTGAAGAGGCTCGGGAGCGACTTCTGATCGAGAGCCTCTTGAAACTGTCGGGCGAGCACAGCGTGACACACTACGAACCCCTTCAGCCAGTAATGATGCAGCCCGTCGAGCCCCGGACTTTTCCAGTTCGGGGCCCTACGGACCGCCTCAGCCACGTCTTCAGGCGTTATGGTGACGGGGTCCATAGGCGTAACACTTGCACTCTGGCTCGCCACAACTTCCATCCAAGGGCCCTCGCTGTGGTTTACGGGCTCTGACCACAGGCCACGCCAAAATGCGACAGTGTCAGCCTGATCCGGTCCTGGGCCCGCTCCACATACCTCTGGTCGCTCCAATGTTTTATAGAGCCTCTTCTGATCACTCTGGAAGAGACGATTCTGGTTGAACCGCCTTGACCTCTCGCTAAATCGTCGAATCCGCTTCCCCCAAGCAGCGATTTTTTGCTTCAGGTCATCTATGCGCTCCGTTAGTTTTTGCGTGATATCCGGCTGGAACAAATTGATATTTGTCCCAGCAAACGCCATCCTAACGGTGCGCATAATCCTCGGTCTATTATTACCCGACCTGAAGCTTGTCAGTCTGCCGATAAGGGCCCTTGCCTTTGCGATACGGTCCTCAGTTCTTTTTCTCCAGGCTGGGATGGCGCTACTTTTTTGAGTAGCACGTCCAGCCACGGGAAGTTTGGCGCCAATAATACGGCATACTGCCAGTGCGGCGCCAAAAAGAATTGAATCCGTCTCGCAAAGGTCCCGGCTGGCTTCCAAATAGGTCACCAGCATTGGGTTAAGAGCCCGCACGACAGCCCGATTTCGCTTGCTAAGGGGTATGCGGGGAAGTCGCGGTCGATTTTCGAGAGGCATGCTGCGCGTTTCCAGCATCGACTCTTCCAATATGCTCCTCATTTTCTCTAGTTCGTGGGAGACTATTCCATCATCGTCTGAATTAGCCACAAATGGAATGTTGACGGCAGCATCCACATATGCAGTTTGTTGCGCATCTAGTGGCGCCGCATTCCCAGCCGTAGCATTTCCATTCGATGAAGGAATAGCCTCACGTCGTAGTCGCTCGAGTTCGGCGTCACCAAATATGTTGGAGCGCAGGATGTACCTAACTCGGTCTGCCAGGTTTTGCTCAGTGACGGATAGAGATGGCTCCAGCTCTGCAAAAAAAGCGATGCATCCGAGCCCGATACGCCAAACATCCAGTTTCTTCCCCTTTTGCCCTAAAATACGCCCGCAGTGCGTTTTCATTCATTGATTTAGACCAACGCATGCGACGTGCTCCACCAGCGGCGGGTGCCGCTTGCTGAGTCCGAGAAGACCCAGCCGACACCAAGCCTTCTGGTGGGGGCCTTATTATTGTTATTATTATTATTATAAGTTGTGGTTCGGTGAAGCTGCAACCTAATGGACTGATCTGAAATTTTTATGAAAAGAAGTGGCTGACGTCAATTATTATTATTCTTATTATTTTTTCATTACTGCCTTTTTCAACCTCACAAGATATTTGTAACTGCAAAAAAAAAAACTACGTATAAGTAAGTAAATCAGTAATATAGTGTTATGTATGATTCAGACTAAATAAAGGTTCCTAAAAATAGACGTAGATAAAGAAATTGCATAAAAAATTACTCAAATAAAAATGCAATAAACTTGTTAATTTTATAGGTACTTAGTAAAATATTAAAATAATAAGTTTTTTAGGATATTTATGTAAAATATAAAGGTTATATTATGTTCTAACTACGTTCACGCTTGCGCACATAAAACCGCGGAATTTCACTAGTTTTATTATCAAAATAATAATTGACAACCCTACCGTAAGTTTGCCTTGATTTTACCAACTCAAACTCGTTTTAGGAGATCAAAACATAGAGAGAAAGATAGGAGACTATTTTTTATTTAATATGGTTGGATCTTTATTTATTTGTATATTTTTTGTATTTATTTTATTTTATTGATATTTATGTATATTTATCTTTTCATTTTAATTTATATTTATAAAAACCAACCAGATGAGAAAACTATACAGATACCCCAACAATAATAATATAATAATAATAATATTCCACAAATATCACACAACGCCATCTAGTCCCAAGCTAAGCAGAGCTTGTATTATGGGTACTAGACAACTGATAAACATACTTATATATTTCTAAATACATAAATTATATTATAGATAAATTACACCCAGATACAGAACAAATGATCGTGCTCACCACACAAACATTTGTCCTGGGTGGGAATCGAACCCACGACCTGCGGCATAGCAGTCAGGGTCACTAACCACTAGACCAACAGGCCTGACGATAAATAAAATAAAGTCTCTAGCTCGAGAGGAGAGGAGCCGTGGTAGCTCAGATGGTTAGCGCTGGCTAAAATTTTCACAGTGTGCGAGCAAACCGGGTTCGATCCCCGCCGGCACCAATAATATTGTAATTGCAATTTTAAGTGTTGATTTACCACGTGCTCAGTGGTGAAGGAAAACATTGTGAGGAAACCTGCACGTCTGAGAAATAAGAAAAATAATATTTCAAAGACATGCAAAGTTCGCCAACACGCAGTGAGGCAGCGCGGTGGATAATTCCTTTCCTAGGACCCTTTCAGAAAATAGAATAGAAATAAAAAAATAATAAATCCAAACTTCATTTAAAACCAAACATATAAATTGTAAAGTAGCTGCAGGTATTTATAACCGAGTAAAAGATATTCCTTTACTCCAACTTGTCCATGTTTCCCAAAACAATTTTTAATTAAGCTTTATATTATAATGCGGATTTTTTTATATTTAAAATTTTAATAATAAAGCATTTCGTACGTCTCAGCCGAGGCGCAAATATTTTTCGACCGCAAATTTATAAGACCGATTTGTTATTCAAACATAAAAATGGTTTTTTTAAATTAAATCTACCAATCATAAAACGACACGCATTTTTATTGAACACTTCCTATTCAATTCACAAAGTACCTATTATATTTGTTTATATAAAAAAGTATATTTATGTATAATCATAAAACTAAATGGAAACACAAAGTAGGAAAATGCATTGAGTTATAAAACACATAAATCAATGGGCAAATGTAAAAATACTGGAGGCAGCAGCCCTATCGCATGTTTACGTACCGCACGGCTGTAATATTTATTTCTAAGATACGGCCGAGTTACAATATACCGTGACGTAAGCGCATCGGTTGGTAGGTACTCAAATAATATTATGTTTGCGGCGAAATACGGACGCAGCGACCAGCGACGCGGCCACCTCCTACTAACGCATACAGCGTAATGCCGCCCGCACTCTGCGCACGCCCCTTTATCATAGAAGTCACAAAATTTTCGGAATTATTTCAATTAAAAGAGAAAAAACGAACTTAAAAATTTAAATAAAACGTGGAGAATATAGATTTTTTAATTATCTATCCATTAGTGTTATCCTCAAATGATTAGAGCGTTGCGTTTAGCAACAGATGCATGTAATCAAGAATTTTAGTCATTTTTTAAAAGTTGATTTTAAATGTATTTATAGCACATAAAAATAAATTAGAACGTGGAATGTGATGATAAGATATCGAACATTAATAATGTACTTTTAGATGTAGTTTATTTTTCATAACTAATGAAATAATAGAGTCTGAAAAACGCACTTTCGCAACATTTTGGTCAGGGATTCACCTTAACCGCCGAACATATAAAAAATACATATAAAGTCGTGGTTTATACCTACGTTCTTATACCCGCTGTAACTCAGGGAGTAAACAAATTATAATTAAAATTTCACAGTACCCCTACGACATAGCTGAAATTGTTAATCGAAATTTTATGTTAAGAACTCTTATTTAATGAAACTACGAAAGCATTTTGAAATTTTGAACATTTTGTAAATTGTCAAAGGGAATGAATGGTAAATATTAAAAATGGTTGAGTTCATTTATTATAAAGCTCTGAACTCCATTCGTCAAAGGTTAAATTTATTGACAAATTGTTTTTACCATATATTTTTACATTATTTTCGTATTTGTTATTTACCAGTTCGAATTTATATCCACGTACGTTTTGACACAATATTGATAATTTCTTAATATACAAAAACTTTTGAAATTTGTCGTATTTTTTCGGATTAACAAAAAGTTTTAATAATAATAATAATATTTCTTTATCAGAGATACATCCTAAAGGATGACACCGTCGAAATCTGTCGATCTTGTCGTCATCCCAGTGAGTTACTTAGGCATGTCATCTCCGGTTCATCGGCGCTTTCTAACTCTGATCTGAGTACTTGAATAGGCACAACCTAGTGGCCAGGTTTTTACACGAGGAGCTCGCTCTGAAATACGGCCTCGTGGATTGGGAACTTCCTTATTATAAGTATACTTCTCGGAAGCCGTGCTCGAAAATGATCGCGCGAGGCTCTACTGAGACCGGGCCATCATCACATATAGGACTATTCTTGCGAATAAGCCTAATATTGTGCTGATGGACCGGCCTAAGTCAAGACTATTTTTGTTCGACCTGGCTAAATAGGTGACCGACATGTGGGGTGGTTTGCGGACTGAAATTATTCCTGTGGTCGTTTTGGCTAATCCCAGTGAGCCTTTCGGGTCATCTGAGGTGGTTGGAACTCCATGACGGTCCGCTCCGAGCTCAAATGCAGAAGGCGGTTTCTTTCCCTTTCCCCCTAACCCTCGGCCATTTGATCTCTGCCGACGGTTTCCATTTGATTGAGTGTTTTATTTATTTATGTTAGTATATTAAATATATATGTATATTTATCATTTACTTTTCTATATTTATTCAGCCCAACCAGATGAAAATACTCTATGGATACCCCTCATAGTATTAGTAGGTATATAATTAAAGATATTGCACGCCATTATCATGATAGAATGTAAAGTAATTAATAACCAATAAGATTATTATTTAATGCACTACATTCTGGAAATAAATAAAATTATATTTCGTATGGTGAGTAACAATAATTAGAGAATAGTGTAGTGTAAACGAAGGTCTATGGGCCACAGCGTCGTCTAACCATTAGGTTATCTTTACACGGCAGAGCCATGCTGCAGCTATATTATGGTTGTAGAACGAATGGGATGGCTCGACCGAGGGGAAGTACCACACACTCACCAAATACCAGCATGAAATAGCAGCTCAATAATGCTGTGTCTCGTATGGTCAGTGTGAATAACCGGAGAGCCTTTTTTACTGGAAACGAGGCCTTCCATCTTAGTCCTTAGGCGTGGCAACGCATCCGTAAACCACGAGGTGGACTGTGTGCTCGTTTGTAACTCTCCTATATAATAAAAGAAGTTCACACAGCAAAGTAAGTGTATCAATAAGTTTCATAAACTTATTAGATCAAACTGTTAAAATTTTTTATCTAGCAAAGTTTGCGATTGTAACATAGTGAATATTGCGCGTCTCAGCGATTAGAGCCTCAACTACGTAGCAGATCCTGATCTCGAATACCTCTCTTTAGATTGATCGTCTGGCATCTAGATGTTCTCACCTCCGATCTTACTCCATAACCGGTTCATCGTGCACCGGTCGGCATGTGTGCTCTGTTTGCTCGTACTCTCATGGCAATCAATCTTTTATCTCCTAAAATATCCTGGGATTTGAAACAAGGGCTCACTAATAGTAGATTCTAATAAGAGGCCTACAAGTTTTATACCGCCCACATTTCACTAATGTGCGCTATGTGCAAATTAATTCATAGTACGTGTTGACATGCATTATGCATTAACTGTTTCATATTGCATTGTCTCGTCGAACACAAGATCGCAACGTGTCGAAGTCCATTGAAGCCGAATAATGAGCCAATCTCCAGCGTGTCCCTCAACACAATATGCATTAACATTCACGTGTGATTGAGATGCACAGGATGTTGATTTGTTCTATATTTAGAAATATAGCAATAACTGATATTATTCAAGTGTTGTGTACTGACGGTGGAAGAAAATTCACCATCCTGTTTCGCAGTTAGGCGGTTAAGAGGTAACTATAGGAAATACCACAAAAATTTCATGGCGTCCAATAAATTCCAATACGTTGTTTATCTTCATACTGCCAATATCAAACACATGAAAGTCTGTCGTGTGCTTCTGGTCATACTGCTAATACCAACACATAATAATCTGTGGCCAAAAAGACGCACAGAGTAAAGATTTTTAGTCTAGTTTAATTCGATCTGGGTATGGATATTGGATATGGACTTTAACTTTACTAGTTGGTGCGCAGCAGAGCTCCAAGATGCGAAACATCTGAGACAATCATCCTGCCAAACGTATCGATTATGAAATACAGTGAATTTTTGCGGTTAAACAAGAATAAGATGTTATTCAAATAATTTCTTAAATAGATACTTATTATGTTTTTGTAAACCAATAAAACTGTTACATATTTTTCTTTATCATAGTGTTGTAGAATCGGCTATAATGTGGTAATTACACTATAGTGTATTATGGATGCAGCATGAATGGGTCGGCTCTACATGAAAGGGACTTTGCTCACACAGAATGTTAGCGTGAAATACGCGAGATACCTACGGCTTGAGCATGTCCAATATCGTCCCCTGGGTATCGTAGGAGGCGACAGAGGGTAACTGACACAGGCGATGGACAACAACATTTTCACAATAATAAAAAATCAACAACTTAAAAAAAACCTTATAACACAATATGTCTATTATATTCATCTATTATTTTCATTTTAGTTTTTTTTTTAAGGGAAGGGTAGTTTCTCATTAAAAGAAGGATTTTTTGAGCTTGTAAAAAGTGTTTGTAGTCGGCTTTAAGTTTCCGACCGAGGTATTTCGTTTCAGTTCTCAGGGGTTAGGGGAGACGACGCACCTGCATTCTTCTATTCGATGGATTGCCTTTGCCAAACAGTGTGCTCGTTTGTTACCATATATAAAAATACTTTTATATTTTTTTAATAAAACCTTCAAAACTTTTGTTAATATGACGCAAAAATTACTGATGGAGATTTCAAATCAAAAAGTAGTTAATGGAATAATATACAAACCATAACATTTATTGCGAAATATTTAAATATTTTTTAATCAAATACATATACGAAATTAACAATATATAATATTAAAGCGATGGTTAGTGATTACCTTGGACTCGGACTAAAGAATACTGATATTGGATATAGATCAAAAATCAAATTGCACGAAATAAAAGTGCATTTATAAACTAAATCGATCCCGGCGAGTCTTTATCGTAACGTAGACAGTTTGAATTCCTCGCCTCAGCGCAGGCCGACATTTTAAAATTGAATCACTTTGAATCGGACAAGAGGCAAAACGTCCAACGAAATATATCAACGTTGCAAGACTTCCGATAGTGGAACGGCTTAACTGGTTTTGGAATAACAGTCTAGCACAAGTATTTACAACATTTAACTTTTTGAAACCGGTTATTTATTCCGAGTTACGATTATTTGACAAATATTGAAATAGTTTTATAATCTTAACAAAGGCTTACGTCAACGACTTTATGGACATTAGTAGAGGTTATAGCCCTTAGTAACAGTTTAATAATAGCGAAACTTTCTTTTCTTTTGTCTTTAATGATTACTGAAATTTTCAAACAGGTGTAGTATGTCTGTAACTGGTGCCGCAATTAAAAGTTTGCCTCTGGTGTGTACCTACGTTACTGTTATGTTCAAGTTTTGCGGTTCGACTGGACACTCGCTCGTTCATTTTTTTTAACCGGAAAATAATTTTATCATCTAGCGTCATGACAGGCTATGATCTATGAACGCGCTCAAATAAAGCGGGAATTTATGCGCTTTGAACTGCAAGTTTTGTTCATATTTCGTTTCGAGAATTCACTTACACTGTGAAAAAAGAACAAACAGACGTTTATACGTGGTAGAACCATGCTACAGTTATATTAGTAGTATAGTTTTAGCAGGAATGGGCGGCTCGACCGGGGAAGGACCACGCTCTCACAGAATACCAAAGCAAAATAGCAGCTTAATGCTGCTGTGTTTCGTATGGTGAGTGTAGAGAACCGGAGACCCTTTTTACTGGAAACGAGGTATTCCATTTTAGTCCTCGCGGGTGACAACGCATCTGCATTTTGATTCGTAATCGAGGATAGATGTAGATGTCTATGGGCCACAGCATCCACTTACCATCAGGTGCACTGTGTGCTCGTTTGTCACCCTTATTCTATAAAAAAGATTAAAATTTAAGATTGCAGTAGTATATCCCTTTGTAATCGATTTAATATGAATATTTATTATAAATATTATGGTCTTGAGTTGTTACCTTTTATTCTCCTTATATTTTTCCATTGCAAAGTTATACAAGCTGGTGAGAAAGTACCTACATATTACATACTCAAGTATTTTTTAATTTTCCGTTATTCGTTCTTAGTTATTACCAAAATATTTACTTCATCCAACTGATGGAAAGTCTAAAGAACTGGAACTGGCACGGGTGTTGCTTTTGTTACTTTGAATCGCTTTCCAATGGAATGAAATGATGTATAAAGGGGTTTCATTATTACCTTGCGATTCAGACATCAGCCGCGCAAAGCGAGAATTTAAACCAATGCAGTGTAAATATGAAATGTTTGAAATTGGTGATACTGGTTACATTTTATAGTTAAAAATTATTTGAAGAACTAGCTTTGAATGAATGTTAACAGCGTAGAGATTGATAAATTTGTATATTACCAACCGTATAAGAACCGTGTAGTGGCGGTGTATATCCACTACCCTCTATCGTCATCGGATGTCGTGAGAGGCGTCTTCCTACATAATAACAACTTCCACATAAATAACAACTTAAAGAACTGCGCCTTCCTACATAATAACAACTTCCACATAAATAACAACTTAAAGAACTGCGCCTTCCTACTTCTGCCAAACGTGGCAACTATGGCAAATATCCCCCTATGGAGTGGATGTATGGAGAATGCATGTGTTCAGCAGTAGAATGTTGATAGCGTGTAACGGTATAACCTACAAGTAACTGATACATATTATTTATGGCTCTGGAGAAGTGTGGATGACCACGTCGCATATATAAATCAACATTTTTGTAACCCAGAAATTTTTCGTTTCCGTGTCTGGTTGTGTTGCGCCATCTTAGCAGCGTGTCGATGTCGGATTATAATGTATACCGCTAACCTCAAACCTCAGATCATACCTCAGACCTTATGGGCTTAGTACTACAATCGAGCACAGACAGGTTAAGACCAGTTAGCGTTTCTGTATTTGATAAACGCAGTACTGTCAGTTGATAGCTTTCGATTATTTGTTGAACTTGTCACCTTGGTTGAAAATGGAATAGAAGGACTTTATCATCATCATCATCACAGGGGAGTTAAGTTTATATCATAAACTTTGTTAAAGAAATGCTGTAAAACATGGTTCCGAGCTATCTGCAACATTCGATTTCGTACATATATTACCGTGTCTTCACTCCATCTAATGGGGGCCGCCCTACACTTAGCTTATTATAAATAGTTTAAAATAACGTGACGGTAACAATATGTTATTTATAATTAATAATGGTGTTTACACTAACAACCTGTATATATATATATATATATACATATATATATATATATATATATATATATATAGTATTTTTAATGTATCCTACATTTTCATTATAAAGTAGTAGTTGGGAACGCTACTTCCTGTTGCAATCTTAGACCTAACTAGATGCTGACAATCTGGATTAAATATAGCTATCGATATATCATAGTATAATATAAAGGAAATTCTGTTTAAGTTAGCTTTATTTCTTATAAGGAATTAATTAGTTTTGTGATTTTAAAAATAAAGATGATGAATTTAGCAAGTCATAGATTTTATTTTTAATTTCAGGTAAGTTTCTGATCTGGCAGAGAAAATAATCCGAAGTCCTTTAAATATAGATGCAATCTATTTGGTAAGCAGTTTTCATTGTGATATAATTTATTTATAATTATATATTTATTTCTTAAATATAATTTTATCCTGGAAATTTGGTACACAAAGTAAAGTTTTTCAATATTATGTTCCTTGAACATATCTGTTTGACTGTATCAAAAATATTTTCATAAAATTTGGTGTTGGATTTATCGTCTACAAGTATCTCGTTAACTACGTTGTAAATTTTCCTTGGGAGTGTGTCAACGAGGGTTGCATACCTTATACTCAGAATCACCATACGGTATTCGCCGGAGGTCATACAGGTTTACGCACCAACGTCGGCGCATCCCGATGAAGAGGTGGGGGAAATGTATAAGGATATTTCTAGTGCTTTTCTTTGCATTCCTACAAAACACACTATACGGTGTTAATATGAGACTTCAATGCAAAACTAGGCACAAGAAAGAACGGTGAGCCCAAGGCGTCAGCAGCTGGCCGACTTCATGGAGAAAGAGGAATTCTTTATGATAAATTCTTTCTTCCAGAAGCGGCCCCACAGAAAGTGGACTTGAGCGAGCCCTGACGATATGAAAAAAATGAGATAAACTTCATTATGACGATTAGACAACAACTGTTCAGTAATGTCTCAGTGATCGCAGGGGTGAAACTGGGATTGATCACCGAATGTTTAGAGGCACACTGAACCTAAACGTTAAGTTAGTTTTTAGTGCCTAAAAGATTGCAATGGCAGTGGATGATATGAATGACAAGCTCGTGGAAACTATACATGCGGTCGGAGCTAAGTTAAGCTAAGAACACAAAAACTCTCCGATCAAACTCTTAATATCATGGCTGTTAGACAGGAGATGAAGCTGCAGTCGTCAGCAGATTTGGCAGCATACAGGCAACTGAACAGATAGATCTCCAAATGCATGCGGCGGGACTTTTTTTATAGGATAGGTTGACAAACGTGCACACAGTCCACCTGATGGTAAGTGGTTGCTGCGGCCCATAAATATCTACATGTATCCTCAATTACAAAACAAAATGCAGATGCGTTGTCACCCGTGAGGACTAAGATGGAATGCCTTATTTCCAGTAAAAAGGGTCTCCGGTTCTCTACACTCACCATACGAAATACAGCACACAAAAAAGCAAACACAGCAAAGGGACTTACGCAACTTTAATACTGCACGTATTGAAGAAGCGATTGAGCGGAACCAGGACTCCAAAATCTTTTCCAGAGATCTGTCTGCCAGAAAGTGTCAACTGTCACAGCTGACGACTGAGTGTAGCAGCATCGTTTCCGAAACTCCTGAAATTTGGAGTGAGATGAGAGATGAGAGAGCAAGTCGTATCCGACACTATTCCGATGATATCCTGGACGTCAGTCTGAGCGAGGTTAGAATGGCTTTCCAGCACTTTAAAAACGGCGAGGCCCCAGGCGAGGATGGAATTACAGCGGAGCTTCTGAAAGCGGGTGGAACACCGGTACTACCGGGACATGGTGGCACTACTCCGGATGCGTGGAGCAGAAGTGCATAGCTCTTGTTCTTCAAGAAAGGCGACGACGCTCACTTGAAGCAGACACTTTTCTCATTTGTTACTACAGACCGATTTCTCATTTGAACCGCTGTTGTCGAGAGCCATTACGTTTCGTCTCTCACGCAGACTCGACGACTTCCAGCGTCCCGAATGAGCCAGTTTCCGAAAAGGCTTCGGTACCGTAGACCTATTTGGTCTACGGTACCGGTCATACTCTACGGCAGATTGTACAGAAGACCGAAGAGCACAATCTGCCACTTTGCCTGGCGTATGTGGACTGTGAGAAAGCCTTTGATTCCGTCCAAATTTGGGCGGTGCTATTTGGCACCGTTGAAGAGACTGTAGTCTCTTCAACGGTGCCAAATTGACTGTCAGTATATCGAAGTGCTGAAGTGTTTGTACAGTAGGGCTAAGATGGCTATCCCAGTACAGAACCAGAATACGAAACCTATCCAACTGCAGATAGGTGTAAGACAGGGTGACGTTCGACGTGATCCCCGAAACTCTTAACCGCTGCATTGGAAGACGTTTTCTAGCTACTTGACTGGAAAGAATACGGTATTTACATTAATGGCGAGTACATCACTCACCTTTAATTTGCCGACGATATAGTCCTTATGGCAGAATCGCAGGAGGACCTAACCACTTTGCTCAATGACCTCAATAGGGTCTCCCAACGGATAGGTCTTAAGATGAACATGGGCAAAACAAACATCATGTTTAATGTCCACGTCACACCTATGCCGGTAGTTTTTGGGAGCACTAAGCTCGAAGTTGTTGACACGTTTACCTGGGACAAATAGTTTACTAGAAAAGTCCAACTTCGACCGAGAGGTCAATCGACGGATTCAACTTGGCTGGGCAGCTTTCGGGAAATTACGACACAGCTTCTCGTCAGGTATAACCTAAATACCTAAAAACTACGAGTAGATTGTACAACCAGTTGCCAGTGATGACTTACGGATCTGAGACGAGTTTAATATTCAAACAAGAATGACAATTACAACATATCCTTCCTAATTTAATAGGTATATGTATTATGAACTGAACTGAATACGGCGGCATAAGAATGAGAATCGTGCAACTATTGTAGTAAAATTTATATTTTACGAAAATACAGAAAGAGCACGAACGAAAACGGAATAAGTAGACATTTGGGTACCGCGACTCAGTCGGAGCTTTATCGTGTCATTGCTGTCCGCAATCGCAGCCAGTTAAAATTCCTCAATTCTACGCTGACCTGCGTTCTTAAATTGAATCGCTACCGTTCGTGGGAGTCAGGCGAAATGTCAAACATTGTGACCTATACAGAGCTATTTTGGATTTAATCGGTTTAGCTCCTGAGGCGTATAATGCGATACGATTCCCTGTCATGACACATTGAGCAGAAATTCGATTTGTATATACATATACCATATTGAGTTTTTGCCTAATTTTTTTAAAATAAAATATGTCGCGTTATTAAAAATTTAGAACATGGTGAATTATTTGTAGGAAATAAATAATTTACCACGTTTGAAATTTTTGGTTTTTTATTTTAGGATATAAATAATTTACCACGTTTAAAATTTTCGGTTTAGATTTTTTATGCCAAATTTTTTCACATTTTACTAAATGGTATCCGCTAATTACCTATGAGCATAAGGATACCACAAGTTTCTTTTGTAGTTCCTTCTCCAATTACAAAACTCATTATGAAAAAGTAATGTTTGAAGAAACGTAAAGACGTCAAAAATAAGTGATAGTGGAGGCGTAAGAGAGAGCACTACCCCATATCGTCCAGTGGGTAACGAAAGAAGTGATAGAGGGAAATGAAACGGTAGAGGAGCAGCAGTATTTTCCCGATAATAACGATCGACACATAATAATATTACTATAATTATAAACATTGCGGTTGCCAATCCGCCTGCCAAGCGTGGTAACTGTAACTAATGAATGATAATCACAATTAAAAAATTTCACATTGCCTGCACCGTGGGTTATTTAAAGTAAAAGAAGTTAGGTTACAGTTTATAAAAAACTCTCCACTGCTGGGCACAGGCTTTCTCTCGTTTACGTCATATAATATTAAAATAATGGAGGAGTGGTCATCGGATCACCTCATATGTTATTTT